ACTGTGTTTGTGTCGCCCACAGCCCCTGCCGGCCATGCCCTCGGGCTCACAGGCGGGCTGGAGAGAGGGACAGCAGAGCCGCAGGGTTAGAGGATGCTGCTCCCTGTAACTGGCAGGTCTTGTTAGTACAAGCTCCCAGCCTGCAGCAACTTGGGGTGGTGCCATCTCCGCTCTAACTGGACTCCTGAGCTCTGAGCCCTTGCCAACGAGAGCCTTGGCACAGGGAGGGTGATTAGTTTTCATTTCTCATTCCAACCAGCTGTGACTGACTGACTGCGGCCGTCTGCCTGGAGGGTTCCAGGCCCAGGAGGAAAGAGCGCGGAGACTGATGAGCGATTGGACTTGCCCCTCATGAAGTGGTCCCCGGGCTTTGCTGGCCGAAGGCCAATTCCTGCAGTGACAGACCGTGGGTGCCCCTTGCGAAAGAGCAAGGCGAGTGACTTGCAGAGGTGTTTAAGTCACCCTTCTTCCAGGGCAGTTTCACAGGAGAACAGATAAAAGCAGCGCTCTTCCGGCCAAAGAGAGGAGTGAGGGCTGGGAAATCCTTCTCCCTCCCCATTTCCCGGTGGCAACTCCTGAGATACCTGCAGGGAACCCAGAATGAAAACCACACAAGGAGGTGGTACTAGGAGAGGGCCAGGGATTCCGGAGGAGCTGGAGGACGGGCAATGTGGGCAAGGAAGCAGGAAGTGCCAAGCCCTTCGGTGGGACAAGCCTGGCTGGTTTGAGACCCAGCATGTTCTCAATGATGCCAGCTGGGCAGGTGGGAGCCACTGGGGTGAGGCCCAGGGCAGCTCGAGTTCCGAGCATGATGGGAAGCTGTTGCAGGGTTTGAAGCAGGAGAGAACCATAGTCCATTTCACTTTGAGAACTGTTACTAGCTGCTGTCTGGGGGAAGAAGGACGTGTGATGGTGGCATGTGGGGCAAGCGCTGGAGGCTGGCTCAGCTGGGCGCAGCGAGCGTCTTGGCCGTTAGAGGAGTAGGGACGATGCCATGCAGTGGTGTCTTATCTTGAGCACTGAGCCCTAGGGCCAGGGGGCACTGAGCTGGAAGGAGGGACCCTCCCCAGACCAGGGGAGTCCCCTCTTCTGTTTATTGCCACAGAAACCCCTAATCCTTCCAGATCCCACTTCCCGTGGGAAATATTCCTAAACCCAGCGTTACTGTCGGAATCAGTTACTCTTGCCACTTACACCGCGTACTTCCGATCCATCCTTTTCCTGGAGACTACGGACTGGGGAAGGCCCGACTGTCGTGCCCGCTCCAGGTCCCTGGTTTCACAGATGAGGGGACCAAGGTTCAGAGCTGATAATAAACTCGAAATCCCGTCTGGTGCTAGTTCACTTCATCCTCAACTTCTCATTTCTGTGTGTCTCATATCCCCTACTAGATTATAAGCTTTTTCTAGCTTTTTATTTTAGCTTTAATTAAAGATGCTTAAGGCCAGGGATCATCTTTTATCTCCCTCACATCCAGCCTAATGCTTGGCCCAAACATAGTTTAACAAAAATTCACTGATAAGCTGTTCTGCGTACCATGGAGCCCCTGCCGGGAGCGGCCCCTTCCCCCCACCTCATCACAGCTAAGCTGCACCCCCCACCCCAGACCTGATGTTGCTGACCACCACTGCTGCTACTCTCACCACTGCCTGGCCAGGGTTACACTTGCCTCGTTCCAAGGGGAGGGTCTGGGGGCAGAGTTTGTTTAATTGCTGCAGTATGACTATAATTAGTATTGGGCTCTGATTGGAAGTAGGCCCAATCCCCAAAGAATGGGCAGTAGTACTGAGACAGACCCTTGCCATTACTCCCATCCTCACTTATCTATCAGTGAGTAAGACAGTAGCATATTCTAATGAGTTAGCCCAGAGGCCATGGTCTGCACCTGCAGGGGTAAGCGGAGTGTCAGGGCTCCCCCACAGTGGGCTGCATGTGGGCACTTCTGAGCAGAAGCCCTTGGCAAGCTGCATGGCTCCTCCAGCCCCACCCTTGCCCGAGGGACCTCTGAGTTTGCACAAAGAAGGTTGTGCAGCCCTGTGTGGGTATCCACGCTGCCTTGTCATTGAGGAAGCTTCTGGAGCAGAGCCATCCGAATTCTGGGTTTCGTTTCCCAGAGGTCCCCGTTGAACCAGAGAGCCTTGTTCAGGGAACTCTGCACCCCGCACCCCCAGGTAGCCACACATCCACACGATGAGGTGTGTTCCCCACACTAGAAAGAAAGCTGGGCCGGGCAAGGCACCTTGCCCACCTGTCCCCCCCTTCCACTCCTCAGGACTCAGAGTGCTTATCAGAACGCATCGTCAGGAGTGCGTGTTTGGCACAGACATTTGCTTGCTGCTTGGGATGTTCACATCTCATCAGAGTCGCTGGTTCCAGTCCCGGCCACTCCACCTCCCACCCAGCATCCCGCTGTGTCAGAGTCGCTGGTTCCAGTCCCGGCCACTCCACCTCCCACCCAGCATCCCGCTGTGTCAGAGTCGCTGGTTCCAGTCCCGGCCACTCCACTTCCTACCCAGCTTCCTGCCGATGCCCACATGGGGAAGCAGCAGGTGATGGCCCAAGTCCTTCTTTCCCTGTCGCCCATTGGGAGGCCTGCATTGAGTTCTGGGATCCTGGCTTCCACCTGCCCCAGCCCTGGTTACTGGGGGCAGGTGGGGAGTGAACCACTGCTGTAATCTCTCTCTCCATCTGTCTATTTGCCTTTCAAATAAAATAGGTAAATAAGTTTTAAAAATACCTTATTAATTACACTGCCAGTGTAGGGTGCTGGGTAACACCAGTAACACATGAGTCACTTAGTCCATTTATTGAGGATCTACTGCATGCCTGCCTCTACCAATTTCTCATCATGGGTACATATTCTGAAACTTGAATTCATAAATGAAGTACTAAAAATATAGACCCTTGCTCATAACAGAAACAGCAGTGTATGTGGAAACTGGGAGAACCTGTGCCAACTCGTCTGTCTTTGCAGAGGGAGATGTCAAAGCAAGTGGCCTAGGTGGCCTGCGTCAGGGCCCATCTGTAGTGAGGGCCATAGAAGTGTTTTTGCATCTGTGGGAATAGTTGCAAGAGCCAACACACAAGAGGAATTTTAAAAGGTTCCAAAGTCACAGAACAGCTGGTGGGAAAGGCAGGCAGGAGCATCCCCCACTGGGCCGTGAACGCAACATTCCAACAAACTGGACGGCTTCCAGAAGTCGCGTCATTTCCAGCTGACAGTTAGGGCCTCCTGGACCTTATCTTTTCACTCATAATTTATCAACCACATCCTCTGTGTCTTGTCTGCTTGCTCATGGACGTGCTGTGAAAATCATGTGTTTTGGGGCTGGCGTCATGGTGCAGCAGGTTAAGCCACCACCTGTGTCAGACTTGGTTCCAGTCCTGGCTGCTCCACTTCCGATCCGGCTTCCTGCTAACGCACCTGGGAAAGCAGCGGAAGATGGCCCAGGTTTCTGGGGCCCCTGCCACCCACAGGGAAGACCCAGTGGAATTCCTGGCTCCTGCTTCTGCATGGCCCAGCCCTTGCTGTTGCAACCATCTGGGGAGTGAACCAGCTAATGGAAGATCTCTGTCTCTCTCTCTCCCTGTAAATCTGCCTTTCAGATAAGTGAATAAATCTTTTTGAAATATTTTTTAAAAAAGCAAATGGTATGTGTGGAGCTTTTCCAGCCATGGGCAGCTTGGGAAGACGCAGATTTCTGTGAGGTGGACTTTGAGCAAATCCGTAGACTTAATCAGGGCACTAGTGCAGTTGCTGTTGAGAATGTCTCCCTTTTCCGAAGTGTCCTATGTAGATGCAGTGCACATAAAGTCCTTGGGTGACCTCAGTCACAACCAGAGCTTCAATTTAGAAGACAGCACTTCAGCTGGGCCTAGCCATGTGCGTTCACAGATCTCCGAGACTCCACCCTGCCTTCACTCCCCTGAGTGATGTGAACTTGAGTGTACAACAGGGAGACCGTGACGCAACCCTCTTTCCTGACAGTCTGAGAGAACGTAATGGATAAGGCGGCAAACTATGAAAATACCCTGCCCAGGTCTGGAGCCTGGCTCTCGCTGAGTGACCTTAGGCTAATGATGTCACCTGTCTCAGCCTCAAAGTCCTCTGTAAACTGGGGACAATAACATAGCCCACCTCCTAGAACTGCTTTAGGAGCTAAAGGCTTAGTACATGGCCAGCACTTAGCACAGTTTCTAGCACACGACACTTAGGCGTGACTGCGCCTGCTAGGGCCGTTTAAATGAGCAGAAACTCAAGAGCCTCATTACACACTCCAAAGCAGAGAGCTGGATCAGGAGTGGAGCAGCCGGGACTCGAACCGGCGCCCATATGGGACCCGGCACTGCAGGCAGCAGCCTTACCCACTACCCCACAGTGCCGGCCTCAAAGTGACCATGTTACTGTGGATCCTGAGTCTGTGAGTGAGAAGGCGGGCGCAGGGTTGCCCCGTTTGGGCTCTGCCTTCCGTGTAGTAAAGGAGCATCTCACAGGGCTGGTGTTCCATACAAAGTACCTTGGAAATACTATCTTTCAGGAAAAGGACAAAGATTCTTGGGATTTGGAATGAGCTGTTGGTGACTGGATTAAAGGAGGACCTAATATTATATATCATGTATAGGAAACAAAGGAAGATTTTTTTTCCATATCCTGAAAGAAATAAAATGAATTGAATACTTTAAAATAATGAACTGACTGCTCTTTTGCCCCATTCTGCCCTACACAAAAGTCTGATGAGCCATTTACTTAGTATTTTCCCAAAGGAGAGACTTCCTGTGTCCTTCCAAGACGGGGCAGTTATTGGAGAATAAAGAAGTGAATTCTCCTCCCATGAATATGTCCGGATAGCAACTTGGTGATGTCACCTCTTACCTTGATCTTCTCCTCTTTCCTCCTTAATAACATTGAAAACGTCCTAACCCTGACTTCTGTCTCTCTCTCCCCCTCCTCTGCCCTTCCCCCTCCATGACCCCACCCCATATTTTCCCCTGCCCTTTAGGAACCTTCTGTATCATTTCACTGTGCACCTGTGTGGCTGGGATCAACTTCGAGCTGTCACGCTATCCACGCTACCTGTATGGACTCCCCGATGACATCAGCCACGGCTACGGATGGTCCATGTTCTGTGCGTGGGGGGGCCTGGGGCTCACTCTCATCTCGGGATTCTTCTGTACCTTGGCCCCTTCTGTCCAACCTGTCCCGAGGACCAACTGCCCTAAATCCAGACCCGAGAACGGGACAGTGTGCTAAGAGACAAACCCACACATACACACACACACACACACACACTCACACATATATATAAATATATATATAATATACATATATAAAACGAGACTCAATCAACATGATGCCAGTGCCAAGGTAGACTTGAGTTGGCTTAGGCACCCGCGTCTCGCTGGACTGTGTGTTGCCTCATCACCGAGTTGGGGAAAGCGCTCCCATTCCGTGGCTCTTCCATCCATTCTTGACTTTGGGCTCCATGGTTTCCCGAAGACAGAGCGAACACCGCACTTGTGATAGAATCCAGGTCCCTGTCAGCCTCAAGGACGGGTGCTGAGCTGGACGGGACAGTGGCCGTGGTCTGAAGCCACCCACATGGGCCAGCAGGCGCGGACACCGCCCCACCCACCCATCACATCCCAGGAAGCAAGGTCCTTAGTTCCTAGAACACACCCACGTCTCCGAGGCCCTTTTCAGCGCCGTGTCTCCTCCTGCTCTTCTTGTTCCGAATTCCTTCCTGGCCCACCAGCGACACACAAGGAGCAGAAGAGAGAACACACCGAGAAGAAGTTTTCTCTTTGCTGCCGAACTTTTGCACAGTTTTAGAGGTGGGACGGGGAGAGGCTGTGCCGAGAGGCGAGGTCTGCATCGATGAACGATCACTGCGCTGATGCTCAGAGAACCCGGTCTTACCTCCCACTGCCTTACACCCAGTAACGCAAGCGGCCCCCTCGCCCTAGCCCACCTGCACTCCGGGCAGCTCGGAGCCGTGGAGTAGTGCTGTGATGTGCGTGCATGTGCGTGTGCGTGTGTGTGTGTGTGTGTGTGTGTACTTCGAGTGGCCTCCTCTTCTTCCTTTCCACCTTTGACATGGAGGTCTTGCATTGTGACTGCTGTGGTTTCATGGCCCCAGATGGAGGCCCAGGGCCCTAGGAAGTGTGAGGGCCAGGTCTCTCTGGGTGCCAGTTCTACAGCTACAGCTCCCTGGAGAGTTGTATGTGTGTGTGTGTGTGCATGAATGTTTCCTGAGTGTGAGGTTGTATTGTTTGTGTTAGATTTTTTTTTCTGTTATTTTGGAACAGCTGAAATTCCCAGAGGGCCGAACCAAGAACAAAATCACTGGGCCCGAGGCCCGCGTGGTTCTTCACGTTGCAGCTCTGGGACTCCGCAGGACTTAGTCTTCTGATTCCGGAAGTTCAAGATGTGGCTAGGCACAAAGGCCGCGGGAGAAGAGGGAGCTCACGGCTCAGGGGGGAGAAGGAATGTTGCCTCTGGCTGCTGCCGCCGAGTGTGTCAACCAGAAGCGACCTCACTCCCTGGCCTGGGCGCTGTCCCTTGTCACTGGACATCCACCCCTTTCCCGGGGTGACATCTGTACAGATGAAAGGAAATGGGTCAGGTGCTGAGAGAGCACCGTCACCCCCCGCCCCCAGCTCCAGCTTGTATGTCATGTACATTCACGGAGAACCCTCGACTCTTCCCATCCTTCCCCCCGCCCCGTCCTCTTGATATTCAAGGCCATGAATCCCAAAATAGCCGTCTCAGTGGCTGCACCCAAACAGAGGTGGAACAAATCCATTCCAGTGTCTCAGGCTCATTGGAGCAAATTGGCACTGCAGGTGTCGGTGAGCGAAGATGTTAGCCAGAGAGTTGTCATCGCGCTGGGGGCAGGAGGCTGCCGGAGTGGGCAGGGGCAACTTATGGCCACCTCAGGGACCCTGCTGGTGCTGAACAGCCCTGGAGAGGCAGGGAGAGAGTCTCGGAGCTGGTGTAGCCACGGCCAGCGTGCAGCAGAGAATTCAGTCGTCGCTCCGTGAAGTACGCTGTGTGAACCTTGCCTACCGCTCAGCAGCCTTCCTCCCCTCTGTGTCCTCTGTTGCATTTACCTGCTTCCAAGCTATCCACCTACCAACCTCCTCCACCTCTCACTTCCAGCCACTCACCTTCCCTCTCTTCCACCCACCAGGCTATGAGTCCTGCCTGTGCCCGCGTCTGCTCCTCTCATGAGGCGTGTGTGAGCCGCACCTGGAGGTGCCACTAGTGTGCATGAATGGGTTGGATTGTGGGTCTCTGTACATGCGCACCTCCGGGTGCGTTTTGTGGATGTTTGTGCTGGTATGCACCTGCACGCAGGTGTGTGTGCACTGCTCAAGACTTGCTTCCCGGGGACTCAGCTTCTGCAGAAGCCTCGTGTGTGAGTGTCCTGCGTAGGGTGTGCTGGGGGACAGGCGTGAGATGCACAGCAGGAAGTGGGCTAGCTTCCAGGAGGGGCTGAGGATTATCTTTAAAACATAACGGATTTAGTTTACAAGGAGGGACGTGATTTTCAGGAAACCCTGGGTTCCGTATTGGGAGTTTAATTTTCATTTTCCTTGAAAAGTTAGATTTCTCCCTTCAAGGGAAGGGCACACCTGGGCTGGAGGAAAAGTGCAGTTTCTCAGATTGAGAGGCCCTGTGACTTCCTTCCAAGTGTCTTGGGTGGGCTCTGCCACGGCAGGGCGAGGCTGGGGTCTCTCGCATCTGTTGGAGGCAGAGGGCTTGTCTGTGGCCAGACCCAAATGCCAGCAGGTTGCTGGGAAGCTGCAGGGGATTCGAAGTGGGAAGTTCGCTTTCAGCCATGTCAACGTTTCTTAACCACATTTGAAGACACTGGCCCACAGGCCTGTCATGCCGTGTGTCCTCTCTTTCTTGGCGCCTACTCGCCGTCAGTACATCATCCGCTCCATCCAATCACTTCTCTTCGTGACAGAGCGTTAGCAACACTTGCTGCCGCCCTTTGAAACCTTGGGCATCCCTGAAACGTTAGGAGGACTCCCAGGGAAGAAGCAAACCTCCCTGGGCTCAACTCACCATCCGCAGTGCAGGGGCTTTGAACGGCTCTGTGGGAGGGAGGACCAGACATGTCTGGATACGCATACTCTAGAGTCCTATCCTGCCTGGAGGAGAAAAAAAAAAAAAACACCCAGCCGCTGGCCAGGAGGGGGCGCTGTACAGATGGCAGGTCCTGGCCAGGAGAAGAACCGCCCAGGTGGCCTTGGCCCTGCAAACACAGGGACATGACCACGGAGTTAGCATGCCACTCCAAGCAGTTAGGGCAGCTTTCTGGTGGTTGAGTAGCTGAGGAAGAAGTGGAGAAGGTAGAGGGGGCCTGCACTTCAGAGGCTCATTTGGTCGGACTCTGCTACTCCAAATCAAAGTAGAACCCAACCTGCCAAGGGGATGAAGGGTCAGTGGCTGCACTAAAGCGCCCAGGTCAAGTTCAAGTTCCTTACCTCTGTGCACATAAGGCATATGACCATGGGTGTATGTGCGTGGAGCTCCTCGTGAGTCAAGGCCCATTTCAGCTTTTACTTCCTTCCCTACCTTCCTATACAGGGACTCGGGAAACTGGGCTGCCTGCTGCACCGTGGTTCCGTGTCTTTCTCTGCTCCTTTTTGGAGTTTGAGTTTCTTATATATCCTTTTCCTCTCTCTCTCTCTCTCTCTCTCTCTCTCTCTCTCTCTCTGCATCAGCTTCCGTTAATTAACATAGTGAAGTGATTAATCTCTAGAGAGGCTCACAGACTCCAGGAAGCCCCCTCTTCTGTTTGTTGTGGCTGTAGGTTTCACAAGGAGGTCTGTGGCTTGCTGGCATCAAAACACAAAAATAAAAAACTGTGCCTGTTCCAGCTTCAACCCTCCTAACAAGCCTTAGCCTTTCAACAGCTCTCTCCTCTCAACTTCAGGGATCACGAAGTCACAAACTTTGGACAGCTCCACCAAGTCAAGGCCAAGCCTCCTTTGCTGTCGTATCCCTATGCATCCCCGGGGTCCTGGTGCCGTGCAGGTCCGTGAGGGTGAGTGACTGCACCCAGCAGTGCTTGCCTTGCCTTTGAGGAGAGATGACCCCGAGACTGAGCCCTCTGTCTCTGCCCGTGTGCCCGACACTGCGGCACCACGTGTAGCTGTCCTGATTTGGTCTGGGACTGTGCTACTTAGTGTCTGAGGCTACCCACCAGCGTCAAGTTCAGAGAAATCAAATCCGTAAACCAGAGGCACGCAGAGTTGACTCTCCCCACCCAGCTCACCGAGGGTGCTAATTAACTGGTTTCCAGGTGCCCTGGATAGAGAGCAGAAGACGCACACTGTGGCTGTCTTCTGCTGTGGTCTGCCTGGGATACTTGGTTGATCCTTGGAAGTAAAGGGAAACTGCTCCAGGACTAATCGTCCAGGCCCCTTCCAGGGAAATCGGAAGACAGACGGGGCACTGGGTGCATCCCGCCCCGCCGGCTTCGGTGCTGCCTTCCTGCTGGCATTCGCTAGAGTAAGTGGACATTGGAGTCGGTGCGCACCGATGATCCTGGGGTCTCAGGGCAGTCAGCTTTGGGGCTGCATTTGCCGTCTCTCCGTGGATGCCACCATCGTATAAAATGTGTCTTAAAAATAATTTCTAGTGCTTGGGATATATTTATTCTCGGCTAATGGGTTTCTCCCCTAATACAAACCCATTGCAGAACATGAGAAAAATAAAACACGAAAATTACTAAACACCAATTGGACATTCCGGCATTCCAAGGCCACTACGATGCACCCCATCGAAATGGTCGTAGCCACCAAACTTTCCCAGTGACTCTGCCGTCTCTGGGCGAACACCTGGCCACAGAGCCATGTTGCTAAGCATTGGATTGATTCTGTATCCATGAAGGCAGGAGCACAGGACTCTGGGCCTCAGAGACAGCAAGGAGGCCTTTGAAAGCTCAATGCCACAGCTTTAGGGGCTTGTGGAGCAAAGGTGCAGGATTCCTATTTGGGGTGAGGGTTCTCTCTCTCTCTCTCTTCCTTCTACTTTATTTTTCAGGTGCCATCTCAATCTAACCGTGGTTGTAAGCGCACTGGAGCCCGAGTAGCTCACTGACTAAGCTGCACTTGTATAGCACCGTTACTGTAAATGTCATTTCCTCTCTGCACTAAAATGATTTGCGACTCTGGGCACTGTGTCTTCTCCATACTTGAACTTCCTCATCCACAAAATGAGGACAGTGATAACACTTTACCTCATGGTATATTAAGGGTGACAAAGAAATTGCAAAGTGATTTGCAAACATACGAAGTATCATATGAATTATGCACTGCTCAGATTACACTGCAGCAGCAAGGCCCCCACTGGATGGAATCCTTCCAGCTCGTCTCTGTGCCTTGCTGCGGAAAGAATAATCCAGAGAGAGAGAGAGCGAGCGAGCAAGCGAGCAGTTGCCCTGGCTGCTGGACAGGACAGTACCCATCCAGCTGAGGCACGGGGGATTCTGTTCTGCATTCCGGTCCCCCAGAGAAGCGGGCTCCTTCTTTGCTTTACTGTTCCCCGGTTTCTTTCTTTTTGTCCAAAGCCCATTTTTGATTATTCCAAGTGATGACGGAATGAATAAACCAAATGGAGCAAATAGCATAGATGAGCTACAGCAGTTAACCGAGGTGCATGGTCAAAGCCTTAAAAAGAGCCTCCTCTCCTTAGTTCTAGGTCTATGTGCTCGAGTGGGGAAAGGCATCGTGAGCTTTCGACTGTAAGATGAGGACATCTTCGAAGGAGCTGGGCATGACTTTCCTCTTGTCGGTTGGGGAAGCCAGTGCATCCATCCTCAAATGCTTATGGGTTCCTTTGGAAGCTCTTTGGATAGTCCACTCACCAGGCTGTGTTCTGCATAAGATGTAGCTGGGATAACTGACTCCCAGGTTCTAAACGAGAAGACAAGGCACTTCTGAAAGGGTCTCCACACTTTGGTTTGCTGTGGAGCAGGTTTCAATGCCGTGGAGAGACTTTCTCCTCGGGAAAGCTGAGTCATCGCTCTAGGTCTAGCTAGAGCCCAGCCAGTAACGGCAGAGCCACCCAATGGCAGCAGGTGTTTGTTCAGTCTTGAGAAACTCACTACTGGGCCCAAGCAAGGGAGCTGCACCCTTCGGCAGGACGGGCCTTGGCAAATACAGCAGCTCCTGCTCTTCATTCCCAAGGACTGGGCTTTGCCCAGAAGGAGCTCTGTGCCCCTGCATCCCCTCCCCGCTCTAGATAAGCTCTCCTTCCCTTTCTAGTCTGTGTGTACCAGTGTGTCTGGTGTGAGTGCGATAAAGCCGTCCCCATAGAGATTTCCAGGAACTCCTTTGCATACTCCTCCCCCATTTCCACCCATGGTGTGACTGTTTTGCTATTCAAGACTATCTGTAAAAATGTACAAATAAAAGTGGAAACTGAAAACAAAGGGGAGGGATGTTGACTCGAACGCAACGAGGTAGCCCTCAGTTTTCTGAGGACTTATGTGGACTGCCCTAAAATCCCGACTCTGGCTGGGATTTGAAGGGAGGGAAGCCATGGGCACAGGAGACTTTTCTGATGGTTTCTCCGACAGTCATTCGTGTCTGCTTAGAACTCTCTGTTCTGAAAGTTTTTTGCCTTTAAAGTGAAATTCAGTTCCCCCAAAGTAAAAGCAAATCATCAAAGTTGAAGGTGAAGGCCATGAGAAAGTTCAGCACAAAGACCCGCCCCAGGGCCTTTGTTCCTGGCTCACGGGGCCGTGGGCGACTCTGTTACCTCACCCCGTCTCTGCGTCCTCTCAGCCAAACAGGGGCCGGGGGCTCCTGGGGCACCCAGCCTCCTTGTCCATGCTGCTGCTATCTTTAGGGAGGCGTGGAGCCCCTGGTGTGTGCGTCCCTCCCTGGGTCCATCAGAAGAGCTGTTCTCCCTGTACCCTTGCCCTGTGCTTTCGCTGCTCAGAAAGTAACCTCACACTAAGCGCCAGTGTGTGCTTGGAGTCCAAAGCCTTTTCCCTACCTTTCGTTCTCAGACTGCTTCTCCCGCGCACTTTGACGACCTGATGTTGCTAAGTGTACCGACAGAGCTGCGCTGCGTTGGGCTGGGTGGAACGGGCATCGAGAGATGATGCGTGGAAACTGCTTTGAGATCTGTGACACGCTCTACAAGCATGGCTTATAGGGTCAGAGGCAGGGAGCTGCACGGGGGCGATCCCAAACAAGAATGCAGCAGGCAGCAGTGGGCGTGGGCGGGAGAGGAGGGGTAGAAGATAAAGGTACCTCGTGGAAGGAGAGATGGCAGAATCCTCAGCGTGGCGGCAGAGAAGGATCCAAAGGCAGTGACCTTCAGGTCAGAGAGCGGACGAGGGAGGGACCGGGCTCCCGCAGCACACAGAGCCGCCCCCACCCCCAGCACTGGGAGGTCCCGCCACCCCAGAGGCGGGTGCCCACCAAGCTTGTCCTGGCCCCAGCTCCCCTCCGCCCCACAGTTACAGGCACCTTAGGCCTGAGCCCTCTCTGATTGCCCAGCTCCAGGAAGGAGATTCGGACCAACACCGTCCAATCGAAGTGCGGTGTAGGCCACACGTGCAATTCAGGCCACACGTGCAATTCGACGTATCCCTGTGGCCACATTTTTTAAAGAGTCCAAAGAAATGTGAAGTTAATTTTCAGGCTATGTTTTAACCCGACGTATCAAGAATATTATCACTTCCACATGGAATCTGTATAGAAAATTGCTGACAAATTTTACCATATTCTTTTCTCAAATGAAGTCTTCAAAATCCAATGTCAGTTCTACTCTTGGCAAACACCTCACTTTGGACCAACCCTATACATGCAGGGCTCAAGTGCCACGCGTGGCCGCTGGCTGCTGCGTGGGACACTGCAGATCTGGGCTTCTCTTAGGAGGCTGCGTGGGCTGCTCCTCCAGTGAGTCCTGGCCGGCCGTAGATCTGCACGTGGCTGCGCGAGGCAGGAGGCTGTGCTGGCCCCGAGCAGGAAGCACAGAGCTAGGTCCAGGTGGCCGGCTCCACCTCCGCAAGTTCTGCTTCACTTGCTTAGTGAACGACGATGCCCACTGACGTGAGCCACGTGTCACAGCTGCCCCGGAGAGCATCAGAGCTGCTACTGGGCGTGGCCCTGATGACCTGCCGTGGTCCTAGCCGTCAACGCAGATGGCCTTGGTTAGCTAGGGAGCATCCGCCGCTGCCCGCCCTTGTCCAGACACCCTTAATCTTACAGTGGGGAGGGAGCACGCAGGCCTTCCCTTTGTTGAGAGTAAAGATCTCCACTCTCTTGTCATCCGGTCCACTCACCTGCCAAGATGCTGTCACCAATATTTGGAGCTGTTTCCTCCATCCCTTAATTTCCGAAAATTTTTAGCTCGAAGTCAGATGCTAAAAGGGAGGTGCCCTGGGAAGAGCAGTGGCCACAGGCAGGCTGGATCCCCCAGGAGGCAGCGGTGACAAGTTCTGTCCTTCCACAGGGTCTCGGGCCACCCCAGCCTACCTCTGCTCCCTGCCTGGAGACCTTCCTTAGGTTTGAAGGAAACTCCTTGGTCCAGGAAAGAGACGAGTAGCAAGGTCTTAGTGCACGGAACAGAATAAGATGCAAGCAGCCAACCCCTGGGCGTTCTCAAAGCATTTCAAAGAGCCAGTGTGACAAGGCTTGACTCAGTTACAACAGAGCGTTCTGAGCCCTGTGTTGCAAGGGAAAGACAATGAGTTGATTTGGTGAGTATGTTTTATATATGGTCATTAGACAGGGACCATCGCCAACAAAGCTCTCCAACACCTGGAGTGTTTACGGTCCAGCAGTCATCGCTCAGTCGATCCAGATTCATGTACCTTTCCTTTAACTTGCATCGTGCTTTCTGATCGGTTAGACGAGGAGTGGTGTGTGCTGCAGGATTCTAACAAGCCTCTCCCCTTGGAGGTAACAATTCCTGTGGTTATTGGTGCTAAAATAAGATTAAATATCCTGTTAATTCGTTCTGATATGATGTGAATAAATGTGTTGTTTAATCTTAACGAGAATGCTACATCTTATCAGATCTATTGTACTGTCTGTTCCTTCTCATAATTAATTAATTACAGGAAAGGTGATCCCACCCACATCTGGAAAGTGCGTGACATTCTGAGGGGTGACTCCAGCGGGAGTGGGAGGGGACGAAAGGGGAAACTGCCAGGTTCCTGCGACTCTGGAAGGACCGAGGGAGCACCGAGCATTTGGGGACCTCACTGAAAATGACTGCATCTTGCAATTTTCTTTCTCAAATTGGCAGAAATATTGTATTTCCATCGATCGAAGAAAAAAAAAGTGTCTGGTAATTAATTAAATGACTTGTTCATGGAAAAAAATAAAAATAAATAACCTGTCAGTTGTGGAATGTAAACTGATTAAACAATTAAATAAAGAAGATCATGTTGTGTGTTTTACACGGCTGTGTCTGCTTGGGGGCAGGTGGGGAGGGCGGAGCCTGCAGTGTTTTCAGCCTGCGGAGGCCACGGGTGCCTGCTCGGGGGCTGTGAAAGGCAGAGATGGACAGGAACAGGAAGAGGAAAGACAGGAGCCAATGTCCTTGCCCTCCATCCCTGGCACTAACTTTACTTTTCACACAAGGCTTTAGGAGCCCCAGCAATGGCTGGTTGCATTCTAGCCCCTCAGTCTACGTTCTAGGTATCAGCAAGCAGAAAACTGGCCCCCAGCTTAGACTCCTCTTCCTTTGTACCCATGTGCCTTGTACGAGTCCCTGGCAGGCACCTTTCTGCCCATGTGCCTTGTACGAGTCCCTGGCTGGCACCTTTCTGCCCATGTGCCTTGTACAAGTCCCTGGCTGGCACCTTTCTGCCCGTGTGCCTTGTACGAGTCCCTGGCTGGCACCTTTCTGCCCGTGTGCCTTGTACGAGTCCCTGGCTGGCACCTTTCTGCCCGTGTGCCTTGTACGAGTCCCTGGCTGGCACCCAGGCAGGAGAGCTTGGGAAGGAGTCGACTGGAGAAGTACTCCTTGGAAGGCCGTCTCTGTCAGCATCTCGGCTCCCAAGGGGGAGGAACTGACTCTGAGCAGAAGAACTGTTGGCCGGGGCCGGGCTCCCGGAGGATGGCCAGGAGGAGCCGGGCCGCGGGGCAGCTGGAATCGCACGCTGGCCCCGCCTGTTGCCCTCTGGACACCTCTGCTTGCCTGGCCGCGGCCCTGGAAAAGAATGCCGTGCCCCAGCCGCCACCTCCACCGGCCGGGGTCCCTGTCTCCCCGCCCCTCTCAGGCCATTGCTTGCACGTCAGAATCGCAGGTGGGTGCGCACCCTGGGAGGGGGTCGGGAAAACAGGCTCAGGGTCTTTTAAAGGTCTCTCTTAGGTTGTGAGTTCTGCCTGCCGAGGTTCACAGAGAGAGGACAGGACCACACACAGAACGGCTGGGCCGGCAGGACGGGGGATGTCCGTGAGCAGTGGGATCGGGGGAAGCCGGGGATGAGGGCTGTGTGGCTGCGTGTGTGCGTGGGACGTCTGACCCGTGGGCAGGGTGCTGTGTGCCTAAACCAGTCTTCACAACAGTCTGCACGGCGGCCCTGGAGCCTCTGTGCAGAGAGATGTGGAGTGTGCTGAGACGGCCGGCGTGAACCCAGCCTGCTGCAGGAGCTCCGCAGACGCCGCGGGGTTAGAGGCGTGTTGAAGGTCACAGCAGTAAGACACGTCACGGTAAGTGCCGTCACAGGAAGGTGCCTTCTAGAACGGGGCGGGGGGGGGTTGGATAGGGGAGAAGACTGTGGAACAGGAAGGCACAATCCTGTAGGCCCCCACTCCCAGCCCCAGCACACCATCTCGGAAGAGAGAAAGAACGGACAAATGGACACACGCTGATCTCGAGTGAGCGAGACGTGTGGCCTTTGTTCCCCCAGGTGGGATGGAAGAGCGAGTGCCCTGTCTGGGGCCGTGGTGAGTGTGTGTGCGCACCAGTAGGGGTGAGGCCGTGTGTGCTGCGCTGTTCCCACCCGCAGTCCTCTGAGGCAGTGGCCCTGCATCCACGTGGACGGTCTGGGGAAGACACAGTCTGGTCTCGGCCTTCTTCCAGGGAGTTCTGTGTCCCTGATGAATTATGTGGTCCACTGAGTTTAGCTGAGACCTGAGTCTGAGATGAACATCCCTACTCCTCCCCAGCCCTCAGCCCCAGAGAGCTGTCGAATAAGCGCAGAAGGTCATGTCCGAGATCTATAACCGAGTTCCCAGAATACGCAGGCTGGTGCATGGAGGGGCACCCCGGGAGGCCTTCCACCTCACCTGTCGGGGCAAGGAGCACACCCCTGGCCCCTGGCCCCCTGCTGTGTCTCCCGATGGCACTCGCCACTTCCAGCTGCGGTTCATGGTCCCACTGGGATGGCCCCAGGACCTGGGTTATCTTGAAAAGCAGGTGTTTGGACTTAGCCGTCTTTGCTTCCCAATGGCTGGCAGTACCTGGTGTATAGCAAATGCTTAATAAGTACTTTCTGATCTGAGCAAAGTAAGGTCTTCCCCCCACCACCACCTCGAGGCAGTCCTAAATGACGGATGTCTCAATCTCGCTTACGTAGTCTATTGGGGGTCCCAGTGCTACCCTCAGACTCAGAGATCTGCCTGACAGAACTCCGCAGAGCTGTTCTACCCAGGTCTATGGTTCATCAGACTGAAGTGAACCAGGTTTCCATTCGTGCGAGTGAAAGGCATGGAGGGCAGCAGGAGCAAGCCGGCGGGAGCCCCCAGCTGTCCTCGCCACGGGGTTCGTGCAGAGAGTGTGTGGCTCCCTGAGCAGTGCTGGGTGACAGGTGCGGAGACCTGCAGCCAGTGAGGCTCATCTAGGCCCTGGCCTCCAGGGAGGCCTCCTGGGGAAGGGATGGGCCATGGAGTGCCCACGTGGCTGAGCTCAGTTACAGTCTACAGCCGATACCCCATGGCCAAAGTTGCCACTACAGTTCTTGGTGTCAGCATGCTCTGTGCAGAGAGCCTCAGGTTAACAAGGTCTCTCGACAGGCAAGGGCCTGGAGCCATCCACGTGCCGTGGGATGTGCAGGATCTGGGCAACGCAGCCTGGCAGTCAGCGTGTAATTCCACAGTGAGTTAGAGCCAACGCCGCACAGTTCCTGTGCACACGGAAGCTCGCCCAGGCCGCCGGGCCCTTCCCTCGCCTCTGCATCCCCTGGAGGTAAGCAAGGGCAGTGGCCTCCTTGCCGGTTGGTGCTTGAAGCTCTCTGTCCAGTGGTCACCTGTGCGTCATCATCTTCTCCACAAGCCTTGTGTGTCCTCCACAGGAGGCGGGGCCTGGGGGGTTGAAAGAACACAGGAGATTGAGTCCTTAAGCAGACCTGGGTTTGAATCCTTCTACCGACACTGCGTCACTTGACTTCCTGTGTTTTTGTTTATTTGAGAGGCAGGGTTAGAGAGAGAGAGAGAGAGAGAGAGATCTTCGACCCACTGGTTCACTCCCCAAATGGCTGCAATGGGCAGAGCTGGGCTGATCAGAAGCCAGGAGCTTCCCCCAGCTCACCCACACGGGTGCAGGGGCCCAAGGATGTGGGCCATCTTCTACTGCTTTCCCAGGCCATAGCAGAGAGCTGGATGGGAGGTGGAGCAGCCGGGACATGAACTGGTGCCCACATGGGATGCCGGTGCTGCAGGCAGAGGCTCAGCCCACTACACCACAGCGCCAGCCCCCCACCTGTGTTGTTGTGAGTGAGTAGTCCCACACCTACCTCCTCCCACAGTGCTTTAGAAGACGAGGAGTCAGCCAGTAGGAGGGCGCCTGACTGCACATTGTTCTCAGTGCTGTGACCCTCCCTCCACCTTTTCGGCACAGGGCACCCTGCCTCTTTATTAAGCAGGTTCTGGTTCCTGCTGCTCTGAGAGGGTTTCTGAGCTGAAACTCGACCAGTGTTTAGCATCTCACGGGCACCTCACTGGGTCTCCATTGCCAAAGTGGACATACAGTTGATATAAAGTTGATATAATGGCAATCAAGTGCAAACACACGTATTCTATCCAACAATTGTAGGTCATTACCAACCACCTGATGCAGGCATACAGCTACGTGTGATGAAATCGTCCTTGGAGTGTTTTTAATTAGGAGAAACAGAACATCTGAGACGGAAGCTACTTTGTCCTTTTGCAGGGCTCCTACTGTCCTGGGAGTGGAGAGAAAAAGTGGGTCTGGCTCCTTCAGGGCAGTGCTCGCGACAGCATCGCATAGGCTCCTGATGGTAATGCAGACTGTCGGGCCACACTCGGATCCACTGGGTCACAGTCTGCATTTCTAATATGATCAAGTGATTCACAGACACTGGTCTGGAAATTCAGTTACCCAGACGAGTGGATTGAAAGTTTGTTCCAACACTTCTGCCAATGTCTTTTATCTAAGATAATAATCACAGTAGGGGCCGGCGCCACGGCTCACTAGGCTAATCCTCCGCCTTGCGGCGCTGGCACACCGGGTTCTAGTCCCGCTCGGGGTGCCGGATTCTGTCCCGGTTGCCCCTCTTCCAGGCCAGCTCTCTGCTATGGCCCGGGAGTGCAGTGGAGGATGGCCCAAGTGCTTGGGCCCTGCACCCCATGGGAGACCAGGAAAAGCACCTGGCTCCTGCCATCAGATCAGCATGGTGTGCCAGCCGTGGCGGCCATTGGAGGGTGAATCACCGGCAAAGGAAGACCTTTCTCTTTGTCTCTCTCTCTCACTGTCCACTCTGCCTGTCAAAAAAAAAATCACAGTAGGATTTCAAAGGACAATGAGGTTTCAAGCCACGTCAGATCGAATGTCATTTTTAACTAATGTCCCCAGAAAGGCCCTTCCTGCTGGATCTAACCCTGGATATAGGGTAAGAACCAGGGGAACAAGTGGTTGGGTCTTTTCTGAATGAGCGGGTGACACAGATGCAGGCGTGCCTGCCGTCAGATGGTTTTCAGTCATCATTGGCGAGCAGACCATAGAGCATAAGAAAAGGGACTGGAGCCCTGTCACCCTATCCCTTCTGTGGATCTTGTGCGCTGGGTATCCAGCATCTAGTTCGTGCTGGTAGAACCTGGTTATAGTATGAACCTCGAGTTCATACTGGCACTAGTCATGTAAGCTTGGGCAACATCTTAAGCCTCTCCAGGCTTTGCTCTCCTCTGTAAATGGAGACAATGACAATCATACTTGCCTTGCAGGGTTTGTATGGGGATAAAATAAATTAATATTTGCCTCACTCATGCTCAAAGCAGTGCTTGGCATATAGTAGGTGCTATATAAGTATTTATCACTCAATCATTAAAATTGCAATTGGCCCACCAAGGTCCCCCTGGAGAATGAGACCTGATCAGGTGGGGTGGCGCTGGGGCTGAATCGTAGAGCAGCGACCTTGTGGGGGCAAGCAGGGGGCAGGATTTTCTACAGGTGTCTCTGTGGTTGGTAGTGGTTCCCACTGTCCGGAGATGGTGGGGAAGGCCTACCTGTGCACCTGCTGGCATCACTGCTATGACCTGGCCCCTGGCTCAGCTCCCACCACACTAGGGTCCACAGTGCTCTCCCCTGTTCCATGGCTGACACTGCAGCTGGACTCCCTCTCTGCTTTCTCTGTGTCTCACCTTCTCCACAGTGTTGGAGTGAGGATGGAGAGCCCAGCCTCTGGGCCCTGAGCTTCCACACAGGCAGCACTGGTTGTGGAAGGAGTTTCCCATATGCCTGTGGAGCCCTCTTGTTTTGTTGTCACTGAGGTTTGAAACAGGCAGTTTCCTTAGGGGAAGTGGTGTGTCCCTGGCCTTTCATCCCTGTTTACCTACAATACTCTTTAAATTCTGCAATGTGGCGTAAGAGACTAAAGAAGTTACCTCCGGGCCAACACCGTGGTGGAGCTCTAAGCTCCACCTGGGATGCCTGCTCCCTGCTAATGTCCTGGGAAAAGCAATGAAGGATGACCCAAGGGGGAGATCCAGACGAAGCTCCTGGCTCCTGGCTTCCGGCTGGCCCAGCACTGGCCACTTCAGCCATCTGGGGAATGAGTCAGTGGATGAAGATCTCTCTGTCTCCCCCTCTCTATCCATAACTCCACCTTTCAAACTCTCTGTCTCTCCCTCTCTATCCATAACTCCACCTTTCAAACAAATAAATAAATCTTTAAGAAAAGAAAAACCAGAAGTTACCTCCATACCCTTCCTGACCCCCAGCCTCCAACATACAGGAAAAGTAAATAAATAAACAAAAAATCAATATTTTTTATAAGTAAAGCTGTCTTTCAAGCACAGATTTTGCATCAGGCACAGTCCTTGGTCAGGGAGATGGAGCAGTGAACAACACAGACAGAAACCTTGGCCCTCACAGAGCTGTCAGGAGAGTGTGGGGCCTGGAGACACGGATACTGAAGGAAGCAACGTAGCAGTCAACATGGGAGAAGGTAGGTGGAGAAAAGTCAAGCAGGGAAGGAGCATCGGTGTTGGGTGCGGTTTTGGATCAGGTGAGAGATGCTATTCCATAATGGTCATGACTGTAGGAGGTGAGGGTGTGGGAGCAACTCTTCCAGGGCACAGACTTGCTGGCCCCTGCATCAGACCTTGGGAACCCAGGGTAGGAAGGGGGAGAGTGGGGCCGGCGCTGTGGCATAGCGGATGAAGCCGCTGCCTGCAGTGCCGGCATCCCATATGGGTGCCCCTCTCCCCACCCAGCTCCCTGCTGTGGCCTGGGAAAGCAGTAGAGGATGGCCCAAGTGCTTGGGCCCCTGCACCCGCGTGGGAGACCCGGAAGAAGCTCCTGGCTCCTGGCTTCGGATCAGCCCAGCTCCAGCCATTGAGACCATCTGGTGAGTGAACCAGCAGATGGAAGATCTCTCTCTCTCTCACTCTCTCTGCCTCTGCTTCTCTCTGCATGTAACTCTGACTTTCAAATAAATAAATCCTAAAAATAAGAAGGAAGGAAGGAAGGGAGGGAGGGAGGGAGGAGGGAAGGAAGGAAGGAAGGATGGAGGGAGGGAAGGAAGGAAGGAGGGAGGAAGGAGGGAAGGAGGGAGGAAGGGAAGGAGGGAGGGAGGAAGGAGGGAGGGAGGAAGGAGGGAGGGAGGGAAGGAAGGAAGGAAGAAAGGAAGGAAGGAGGGAAGGAAGGAAGGAAGAAAGAAAGGAAGGAGGGAAGGAAGGAAGGGAGGGAGGGAGGGAGGGAGGAAGGAAGGGAGGGAGGGAGGGAGGGAGGAAGGGAGGGGAGTGGGGAAGGGAGCCCTGGTGTCCATTCCAAGTTGAATACGCGATGACGCAGCTTTGCTCACCGTGCAGGTCAGGATGACACCTTGCTGAGTCATTGCGTACTTTTGTTTTCCTGTGGCTCAGCTTCTCATTTAAGGGCTGGACCTATCGCGTGAAGTCGAGATTCCTTTGGCTCTCTTCATCCCTAAGAACGAAGCTCTGACATCTTTTTGAGTGGCACAGGGAATCCCAGGGGGCTGTCTGTGAGAACCCTGGGCTCTCCATCACTGGCAGCACAGTGACCCCGTTGTTGTGACTTTGGGGGTTGCGAAGGTCTTCACGGCTTCGCCGAGCTTGGGGACACCAAGCCCTCTCTGGAACTTTGAGCGTCGCCCTCGGCTGCCTTCCGAGAATCCTGTTCACAAGGAGGATTCTCTGCGAAGAAACAGGGAAACGTTTCAACAGATGAAACAATGGACGTTCAGTCGAGACAGGAAGTTCTATTCAAAGACTTACCGCTGGGAACCGCAAGCCCAGTTCTCAAGCTTGGCTAAGCAGAGCACTTCCTGAAGGCCATTTTGTTTCATGGCCATTTGGCTCAGAACGGATGAGAACCGCTTGTTCTCTCTGCCCCTTCCCCCTCAACGGCATCTGTGAAGTTGGTTTCCTTAGTCCTGCCAGCAGTCTCCAAATTCCTCAGATCACAACAAGTGATTTTAATAACCTGATAAATGTTATAAAGTTGTAGACCTTAGGAGACAAATTACCTCTGAGGTTCATCGACTAGAACAGAAAAAGGCCGGGCACTAAACTAAACTTTGATCATCTGTATCTACAAGGTGGATGGAAGAATCCCCCAAAAGGTGTTGCTTTAGACCACAAAATGATGTCTATGCAAAGCAGTTCTCATTAATTCTGGACCAAATGGTCATAAAAACAAAACGGCCTTCAGAAACTCCTCTAGCTGGCCAAGCTTGAGAAGTCGGCTTCCAGGCCCCTAGAGGTAAGCCTTTTAATATAACTTTCAAGTGCCGAAGGATCGAGCTTCATCTACACTAAAATTAGGACTAAGCAAAAAATAAAATCCGTGCTGAGCTATTTTGAAGGCCAAGTGTGGATCTGCCTTACTGAATATTGCATGTCCTGGAATATGCATTTTCTTCTAGAATAACCCAGTTCCTCTTCTACCGAGGACTTTTCTGAAACTAAAATATGCAATGCCACTCTGGAAGGAAATTCTTGATATGCCCTTTTATCCACAGTAAGAACTTTAATTTTTTAAAAAAGCAAAGGATTCTTACCTTTAAAATATTTTCACTGGAGGAAACAGGGAAAATGCCAAGAGAAGAAAGAAGAAGAAGGGAAGGGGAAGAAACTCAAAACGGAATGAAGGAAAGAAGAAACGAGAGCGAGAGGGAGGGAAGCAGGGGAGGACGAGATCCACTGTGTCCTACCCCCGAAGAGAACCAGCAGCCACATTCTGACATATTTTGCTTTCTTTAAAAAAAAAAAAAAACTGGTCATTTATTTATTTTCACCTCCTTGAAAGACAAAGAGAGACAGAGATAGGTCAAGAGAGAAACAGAGAGAGAGAGAGAGAGCTAGAGAGAGAGCGAGAGCGAGCTTCCACCTGCTGGTTTACCCCCCAAATGCCCACAACATCCAGGACTGGGCCAAGCTGGGACTGGGATCCTGCAGCTCCACCTGGGTCTCTCCTGGGGGTGGCAGGGGTTAGAGCACTGGGATCCCTCGGGATGTGCATCAGCCAGCAGCTGGATTCAGAGCAGAGTGGCCAGGGCTCAAACTGGCGCTCGAATGCGGGATGCAGCCTCCCAGGTCTCGCAAGCTTAACCCGCTGCGCCACCATGGCTGCCCCTGACGTGTTCTCTGGTTGTTAACTGTATGCACTGAAATAGTTGCACTCGTGTTGGGTAGGCAGCACCAGTGTTTCACAGAGCAGACTGTGAACTCAGTACTCTCTCTCTTGCACTGCATGCTTCTCCCTCCAACCTCTCGCCGGCTGTTTGCTTCCACGTCAGAACACTTTGGCGTAAAAAGACACCAGCTGCAGACTGGACCGGACTTTATTGCAGCTCTGCATCTTGCGTGTTGCCACTAAGTAGGCAACGGTGAGGCCCCACGTTTGATCCTGCCCTCTCTTATCCTTGATAATTAGCACAAGCGCGCTGCCGATGGCTAAGCCGCAGCCTGGCTGCTTTCCCATTGCTTACTAGACCTTTTTTTCCAGAGCTGCGGTTAAAGCGTGGCTGTTCCTGTCCTTAGCTGTGCTGAAGGACTGTGCACAGGCTATTGTGACCTGCTCCTTCCCTCATTTCTCTTCCCTTCCTCGACCTCCCGCCACCGGACACACACATTGTCAAGTCCCACCGGTTGGTGAGAAGGAAGCCTGGCTACAAAGCAAGGAGACTCGGCGTGGTTGTGGGGTGTCGGGTTGGCGAGGGTAATTGAGAGGAAAAACTGAAGCATGGGAGCTGGACACGGTCTTGAGATTTCCGCATGTTTTTGTACAAAATAAACTGTAGATGGCATCTTTGAGATGGGTGCAGTGCACAACCTGGACAGTGTTCACGTTGGCCCGGCGTTACAATCCCAAGGCTGCATCCCAGCAGTGGTTTGGACAGCAGAGCTGATGTTTGCTCACTTGTATGGGGCCGCTCTGAGGGCTTGAGCTGTCGTGTGGAGGTGGCTGCCCACGTGCCCACGCAAACTGCAGTTGCCCATACGGGAGCGTCTGGCTCAGTAAGGAAGGGCTTCCTGGCAGAATGGTCTTCAGTGCCATTGGAGAAGAGTCATCCTGCGTCTCTCATTCCCTCCCCAGCCTTCATACTTGCTGTGAAAGCCTGGACTAACCTCTTTTCCTTCTTTCTTTCTTTTTTTATTTGACAGAGTTATAGACAGTGAGAGAGAGAGACAGAGACAGAGAGAAAGGTCTTCCTTCTGTTGGTTCACTCCCTTAATGGCCACCACAGTTGGTGCTGCACCAATCCAAAGCCAGGAGCCAGGTGCTTCTCCTGGTCTCCCATGGGGTGCAGGGCCCAAGCACTTGGGCCATCCTCCACTGCCCTCCCGGGCCACAGCAGAGAGCTGGCCTGGAAGAGGGGCAACCGGGACAGAATCCGGCGCCCATATGGGATGCCGGCGCCGCAAGTGGAGGATTAACCAAGTGAGCCACAGTGCCGGCCCTGGATTAACCTCTTAATCTGACACAAAAACAGTGCTGGTATAATTACTAGTATGGGTTGAATTGTGCCCCCTGCCAAAGATGTTGAAGTCCTAACTCCCAGTATCTGAGATGTGACCTTATTTGGAGAGAAGGTCTTTGCCGGTGATCAAGCTGAGGTCGTTAGGGTGGTCCCATAATGCGAGATGACTGGTATATATAGGACAAGAGGAAAGTTGCACACAACCGCTCAGGGAGAACGCTATGTGAAGATGGTGGCAGAGATCAAAGGGGGCTATCCACAAACCACGGGACACCAAAGACGGCTATCAAACCCCAGAAGCTAGGGGAGAGGCCTGGAGCAGGTTTTCACTCATGGCTCAGAAGCCACCAACCCTGCCAGCACCCTGACCTCGGACTTCTGGCCTCCAGAACTGTGAGATTATTAAGTTCAGTTGTTTAAGCACCCAGTCTGGGGCACGGTGTTACAACAGCCCTAATGGGGTTTCCAGAGAAGCACACAGGAAGGGCCTCCCGACCAGTGATGTCGCTGCCACATCACGGCGCTGGCTCTGCTAACACCCAACGCGGCGGCAGAAGTTTGCTCTGTTCTTCAGCAGCGTCCACCTGCTGAGCCTGGCGCGGGCCACGCAAGCCCTCTAATGCACTTTTCCCTCCCTCCCCACTGCGACCCACAGGCAGGAAGCACAGCCAGCGGACAGGAGAAGGCGGCCTCGGGGACGTTGGGGGACATTCCTGAGGGGCACGCACCTGGTAAATAGCAAACCTAGGGTTCAACATCCAGATGTGTCTGGCTCCAAAACTCATATTCGTAATGACCACAATGTGCTTTCCTCTGTCTTGTAGCTCATAACCTTGAAATCCTTAAACAGCTTTAAACTCACCCTTTAATAGCTCTCTTCAGATGCCTCCCTCCTGTTTTGCTACAAATATTTTTACTGACAGAGGAAAAGCACTCTTGCTGTCCACATCACTGTTTTACTCATCTAAAATTGGACTGCTTGGTTTGAAGCTTTCAATGACCAATCATCCGCTTACATTTTCCAAGCATTTACCACGTGCTCTGCATCTCACTAATTACTCCACGTTAATTATCTCATTCAAACATGAGTTTGGGTACCGTGCCAAGCTCACCCAGGCTGTAGGGGGTTAGCATTCGACTACAGAGTCTGTGTCAGGCCTTTCTGAGGGCGGACTTTTGTCCCAGTTTGCAAGCAGTTTGTGTACGTACTTGTTTCTATCAGACTCCCCACGAACAGCTTGTGCTCCATGAGGGCAGGGGCCAGCCTTTGGCTCTGCAGCCCCATATCCTAGCATAAGGCCTGACAGGTCTGGTAAACGGTGTGTGGCATCCCTGAACACAGGAAAGGAGGCTAGCAGCCTCCAGGCCCACAGGGGCACCCACTGGTCAGTGCCAGTTCCCAGATCAGCCACCAGGCCCACAGGGGCCGCACTGGTTAGTGCCAGTTCCCAGAGCAGCCGCCAGGCCCGCAGGGGCACACACTGGTTAGTGCCAGTTCCCAGATCAGCCACCAGGCCCGCAGGGGAACACACTGGTCAGTGCCAGTTCCCAGAGCAGCCGCCAGGCCCACAGGGGCACCCACTGGTTAGTGTCAGTTCCCAGAGCGGAGCTTCTGACAATGAGGTGGGGAGGCACAGAAGTAAAAATGGAAATAAATTCTGCTTCTTTCATTTACTTTGTTCCGTTTCCATGGTTTCTGGAAACAATGCTCAAGTCCACGGCCTGAAATTCCGGCTTTGCTACAAGTCACCCCTTCTTCCTCTTCATCATGACCCATGCCAACTCCCCTCTCTCTCGTCACCGGGGGTGGGGGTGGAGGGTGGTTCTTCAAACCATGACCCAGCACCTGGGCTTACGGAAACTGTCCTCTTTCCTCCGGTCTTGGATCTCTGTTGTCCTCATTCTCCCTCCGCTCCTCACCACAAAGAGTCTTGAGACCTCAGAGGCCTACGAAAGGGAGAACAAGTGTGGGTGTGTGTGCTCCAGGGGAACTGGCCGTGGGGCGAAGTGGGGCTGCCCAGGAACTGTGCGTCTTCATCTTCTAGCTCCTGAGCGGTCATGGGCAGCCAGGGACACTGACCATGCATCTCTCCCCAGAGTCCACCTGACTCCTCTCCAGGTGATCTACGAGAAGACCCCGCTCGCAGCTCCCCTTGGCGCCGCCCCCACCTCATGGACCCCTAGGAAGGAGCAGACACTCACCTCTGACCTTGGAGCAGAGGGACGGTTGCTGAAGTCTCTGTCCGATTAAATGAGAAGACATCGCTTCCGGGTGTGTGGCTCCTGTGTTCAGATGGAGGGCAGAAATTGTGCC